AAATAAGTGAGCCCTTTTTCTAACTTACTACATGTTGATTTTCACTTGATTTCAACAAACTTGTTGGAGAAAACACAAGCAGTGAATGCTGGGAGTCCCCGCATGGTATCTTTGCAGCCACTGTAGCCTCTACATGTAGTTATATTTTTAGGAGGTGTATGTCAGTTACAGCAAAGCATCAGACGTTCCACCAATAGCCCCCATACATAGGTGCAGTTTTCTTTACAACCTGTATAACTGTCTCATAGAGTAACATTTCTTAGATATAAATCCAAAGACACATTCATCTCCTTCACGTCTACAGCTACAACCTTACTGTAAGACCATGTTGTGAAAAAACCCAGCACCCCCCTCCTTCCTTGTGCCCGTCATAGCTGCATCCATTGCTCATACACTCACGTAATTGCAATAGACAATCAGATGCCATCTTTATAGGCGCATGGTACAACTGTCACAATGTGTAAGACTGTGATGAAGCACGGCCGATACATCCTGTCAAAAGATCTTACGACATGCTAACGCTCGCCTCACCACCACACAGTGTTGATTGTTCCACTGAATCAGTCAGCGAGAGACGGGAATTCCTGTTATGTTCTCAGCAGATGTCGTAGCCGATGCGCTTCCCTCTGACTGATGTTGTTAATAAGAATTAATGAAGGGTGGTGGTGCCTGCATGGCTGTTTGTTGTTGCGTGGGTGGAGCGGGGATTGTCCATGGCATATGGTTAATAAACTGAAGGTGACAAAGGTGTTGGGAGGTGATGAGGAGGTGACATGGGTAAAGCTGAATGCTTGACTCGTTTCCCTCATAAAGTGAGAATAGGGCGGCCTGCTACATATGAATCCTGTAGCTCTTGGCTCACTGTGGGACAGTGATGCTTTTCGGTGAAACTCGGGTCTTGTTGTGAATCTCTGAGTCCAACTCTTACCTCCAAAATCAAAAAACACTATATTATAAACCCTCAATATTTTATGGCATTTGTAAGCCTTTTATTTGAAAGTGGACAGTGACAAGAGACATTGGGAGGAAACAGAGGATGATGATCTGTAACAAGGGTCCTTGGCTGAACTAAAATTCAGTGTCTCAGTTTCACAGGTGTGCACACACCGTGCTATAACAGTAACCATGAAAGTTGATTGGATGTCTCAGTGAGGAGGATTGGTTTGATAAAATCTTGGTTGCAATCTGTGTCAGAATGTATGATATCAATCAAGGCAGTTCAGATGGTGCGATGAATTGCTGTTAACCAATGCTGTGTTATCCTGCTGTGTATGTTGCATCTTTCATGCCGTATTTTGTTTGGTTTGTAAAAGCAGATGGTAGCAGCAGTCACACCTGGAATCCCAAATTTCTGACATTGAATGTGATCGCCAAAACTTTAAGTCCTCCATGAGCATATGTGTTTAGAACCACTGTTGTGGTTTAACAAATGAATTTCCATTAGTCAATTAGACAACCAAGCTGACAAATGGGATCCTCTTTAAACACATGATTTGGTATTTTCCTGCAGTCGACCTCTTATAGATAGTCTCTTGGGCACAACTCTCACATGCTCAGACAAACCGTTTCATGACATTTATTTTTTTTGTGCTAACATAATAATTAATACATTTGACCACTGGCTCCCAACATGAGGTTCCTGACCCATTATGGGTTGCCAAAGCTTCACAGGGGTCACAAAGCTTTCTTGATTGTAAGGGGTGCAAGAAAACTTTAAAATTATTATTTCAAGTTTAAAAAATACATGGCTGCCTAACCTATTCTGTCTGCATGTCCTGAGAAATTAATGCTATGCGTCTGCAAGATGCATTATGCACATAAATGGTAGGTGCAGTCAGAGAAACATACTCGTCATTGACACAGCGTGCTTGACCTAGGGCCACTATATACTGTCTACGATGGCGCCACTGTCACTTTCTCTGCCATGATCTCTGAATTTACAATATGGTCACCTCGTTGAGTGCTGCCACGCCCATTGTTTACATCATGCAAATCCGTAAGTTCCCCAGTGTAACTCTGTAGTGTGCCCTCTAGTGAAATCCTCCAGAATCATGTGCAGTACATACAATAGACAAGTATGCAAACAATTATGTTCATGATGCAGCCAGCTGTTTACATGAATGCCCGGTATATCTTTGGCCTAATACATCCCAAGTCTTTCTGAAGTCAGTAATTAAGACTGAATGAACACGTGAAATATTTGCTGGTAAAACCCCAGAAGTGTAATATTCTCAAACAAGTTTCACAGCTATTTCCACCTCTGCCATTTTATACTCTGCTCAGGGAGAAAGGCGACAGCACCACTCCGTGCCACTGCTCCACAGAGAGTGATGAGGTCGTCAGCAGATACTGTTGATAGTCCTACCTTAATGACCTTTGACGTCTCCCTCACCAGGCGGTGCAGGGAGGTTAAAGGTCAATAAGGCTGCCAGGGGGCGAGGGCATGGTTGGCAAAGTGGGTGGGTCTTGAGTGTGTCGATCCAGGGCCCACCCCTGCAGAGTGTTGCAACTCTTGCCTTCAGAAGTTGGTGGGAAGGTCGCCTCTAATTGGTGCCTCTGTCCTGGTTACCTGCTGTGGCCTCATCGCTGCGTCTGGCTTTGATTGCGCTCAGGTTTGATCAGGGAGGTCTCTGACTGTGAGACCGTACCGCACTGCCAACAGTCAGCACAGAGCCACACAAGAAAAGTTTTAAAATGACTGACTAATCATCTTTTTATAATTTAGGGCTGGAATCAGTTTTTCAAGCACTTTGAAGAATATGTTGTTGGAATACATTAAATAAAAGGAAACAATCAACACACAGCAAATTCAAAATATCTTTATATTTAATTTTTTAAGATAAATCCTCTCAAATGCAAATGAGGCTCTGATGAGTTGTTGAATAACTGCTGGAAAATAAAGCCAAAAAGTCAAATGATGAACCAGTTGCTGATAAATGAACATCAAATAAACAGAATGTTGACAATGTAATTTAATAAAATAATAGTAAAAAAAAAACCTTCATAATGAATGTAATGTTCAGCTACCTTAATTTTCCACAACTTTTACCAGTTTATTATCTATTTTTTCAGTTTTGTAAATTCTAATCATTTTCATCTTTTCTATCCTTTAAAATTCTTAACTTTTTGACAGACATTTTGGCTGCACATAATCATGTGAGGCAACAAATTAACATCAACAAATTAATGCAAGCCATGTAAAGCATCTGCATTTTATGGTGTTTAGTTTTACTTACTAAATGATAAAAGAATTTTTCCATCGGCACAATAAGGGATGCATCTTTCCTTTATAGATTAGTATTTTGCAAATAGTAATATCCATAACAAAGATATTTTCTAACATTGCATGGTCCATGGGGTCATCACAGTGAATTAAAGCTCTACTGTGTAGGATTTGGTAGCATCTAGTGGTGAAGTTGCACCAACTTAAACTTAAAGAAACAACATGGCGGACTCCATGGAAGAGGACCCACTCCGTACGTAGATATAAACGGCTCTTTATAAGGTAAAGAAAGCATGGATCTTAGTTTTAGGTGATTATAAACTGATGAAAACAAAGTTATAAATATTCAGTTTATATTCCTGTAACACAGTGGTCCTTTGAGAACAATTTGTCCAGCTGCAACTTTTGTGGGCTTTGTTTAATTAATTACACCTCAAAAAACAAAACAAAAACAAAAAAAACGTTACAACTGTCTGACACTGCACATTGGAAGCAGCATTCCAGCCAAATGCTAACATAACAGAGAGGACAAGGGCTTCTTTAACAGTAGACCACACCATAAAGTGCCTCAACTAGTCACAAGGCTCGCTCAAATGACTGCAAGCTGTTTTTATCCTTCACATCTTCAAAACACTTGCCTCAAAGACACAGCAAACTGTCTTAACGGAATTCCATTGAACAACAGGTCTGTCTTCTGGCAGCTTTACGCTAAACAAATTCTCAGAGAATACGAAAAGTACATGCTGAAAAATGTGCAAAGGAGTCAGGGGTCATGAGCTGCGTGTCCCTTTAGTTTATTGACACAGGATGAACATCACAGTTACAGCAAATAATTATAGACTAGAACAAGCTCTTTGTGTGTTTAAAATTTGAAGTGAACTTTTATTGGTTAAATACACCAGAAAAAAGCAATAAAAATTGTAACTTTGCTCAGTGAGGTTTATTTAACCACTGTTCCTTGTCTAATCAGTACCTTCATAATGTTAATTTACAGGTTCTGCTGCCAAAGCCACGACACAGCCTGTTAATGGTGCTAATAGCAAACATCCAGCCAGCAGCAGTAAGGCTTTCGGAGGCACAGATCATTGTTCACGTCACAAAAAGATCCCTCGGCCTCTGGGTGCTCTTTTTCTCTCTCTCTGCGGCCTCCCTCCCTCCCTCCCTCGCTCGCTCGCTGCCTCCCTTCGTCCTTCTTTCTCCAGCAGCCCCGTGGGAGCGCGAGGGTTGAAATGACACACAGTGGCTGACTGTCGCCCAGGGGCGTGGGTTCTGGCCTTGGCTGGCTGGATCTGTGTGGCAGCTGGTGAGCCCACTGCCCTCTCTCTGGCCTGCAGCATCAACAGTGGTGGTAGTGGGACTGATTGGAGCCTCACTCTGATCTCTGACTCTGGGGCTGACGCTCAACTGCTCACTGCTGCCCACACGACTGGTGGTGAGGAAGTGGGACAGAGAGCGGATGTAATCAGGAACACACACACACACACACACACACACACACACACACACACTAAACTGTCCAGTGAAATGGCTGAGAGTTGCATGTGAAAAACATGAAATCCTAAAGAAAAAAACATGAACACCACAGTCCTGATAGGGATGCGAGCCGAGAGAGATGACGATATTCATCAGGGTAGGGAGATGGCAGAACAATGTGGAGCAGTGACTGTGGTCATTATGGGGTTATGATGCTGAACCAGCAACCACATTTATTTGGACAAACTGTTGCTGAAAATGCATTGATATGCCATGAAGGAAGCTGGGTGTCCTGAGGACATGATGCACTGCCAGTTAAGTAACATTTTATTAAGCCTTGTTTGAATACTCATCATTGCATGTTCATAGCTCAGACTCAACAACAAAAAAATATCACCATTTCACCTCCATTTATAAATAGAAACACCTTTTTAACAAATTAGCAGCACTTTCCTGCAACCCGTACAGCCTTCCCTTTGACAACAAACGCAGACTTACACAGTCCAACAAAAAATGACCAAAACAATAAATGAAAACCAACGTAACTGTCTCACATCTTTGCTCCCTAGTTACTAATAAAGAGTTAAGACACCAAACTTCTTATAGTGTTAGCATTATTAGATAATTGAGACGTTAAGATGACAGGTGACCTTCTTGCGTCCACTCCTAATCACTTACGCTGCAACATAATCATGAAAAACACTGACATTTTTTTAAAAGAATATCAACAGAACTTGACTTTATTAGTGCACAGTCCCTTATTGAAGTTTCAGTACCTTATACACTAAAACTGTTTTGACTTTAGTTATTTTGTTCTTCACTGTAAAACGTATATATTGTAAACCCCCATGAGAAAACATGCAGAGTTCAGGTATGTGACCAGGAAAAAACATAAAGGCAGGAATCGGGATCTGAAGAAAAAAAAAAAAGGTCTTATACAGAGGTGACAATGTGTGTAATGTCCTCATATGGTGATGATGATGATAATGATGTGATACACTCTTGGATTTTGGGAGATACTTTGCCCAGGTCTGGTCCAAAAGACAGACGAGCTTGTAACGAATCAGGCCGGGTTGGGTGGGGCCAGGTCTCAGTGGTGTTTGCTGGTGTAAATTCTGTTCCTGAGCACAACTACGGGAGGGAGGTGGTGTCGGACGCCGGGGTAGTGCTGGATGTGGTCGAACCATCGCGTCACATTCACATACTGCTCCTTCTCCTGGATGGCCAAGTCCACCTGGGTGAGAGAGGAGAGTTCATATGATTATAGAAGGAAAAACATCAGACACTGTATGTAATAGTTGGTGAGGTGGACAATGATAAATCCATTATATACAGTACATGCTGGTGGCTGTGAAAGATAAGAGGGCATCATGCTTTAATATTTTGTCATTAACCAGGTCAAACCTTTGTGAACCGAGCCCACCCCTGCCACCATTCAGTCACCATCGCTGGATGATTAATGCATTTTAGTTTCTTGGAGATTCTGTTTTGAGTCTGTGAAGATTATCTGTTCTCGTTTGTAAAGCAAAATTGCAAATGTAAAGAAAAAAGCTACAAACACTGATGTGGTTTTGACCAGTGGTTCCTCAGCCTGGGTGTGTTGATACCAATCTGAGTGCTCACAAGATGATTTAAAGGGTAACACAGAAATGTTTGTTCTTTTAATGCTCTTACACAAAATTCTGTTAAACTTGATAAATCTAGTCTTATTTTCTGTTAACTCCTCATTGATGAGGATGATAATTTTCTCAGTCACTGTATAGTGCATGCTGGTTTTAGCAGCACTACTATTATTTTTTAGCTGTATTCATTGTTTTACTGACTACTACAGTGTGTGTACTTGTCTTTGTTGTAATATTGTCAGTTGTAGTTTTACTGTTTTTTTTTTAGTTTGCCTGTTTTCTTTTTGTATTTGTTCCCTGTTGCCTTGGATTTTTACTTACATATTTGTTTTACGCTATGATGTAATGTTAACTTGTGTGGACCCAGGAAGAGTAGATACTATCTTGGTATTGGCTAATGGGGATCACAATAGCGAGCATCATGTAGGTTTACGTTACCAAAGGTTTATGACAAAATCACTTGATGACACCGAATCATGTGTGCGCATGGCGAGAGAGGAGAGGGAGAGACGCTGTGCTGCTGCCAGAGGAGCCGCTGAATGTGTTCCCTCTGAGCGGTAACTTGCTAAAAGAGTTGAGAAGTCCGGGGCTGTTCATGAACACAGGACGCCACAGTTTATTCCACACTACTGAAGCTGCTCTTCTTTTTGGAACCACCGCCTAGTCGCTAATACTTTCACTTTCAGCCATGGTTGCTTTTGCCGTGGGTTTCATTTTTCATATGATATTGAAATTATAAGGCATTATTGTGAACAATATGATAAGGCACACCCCTATGGGAAAGCAATGATTTTCTTGAAATGTATAAATTAACTGTAGGACAAAGCTTTAAAACAATCTGGAAACTAACACTGTTTGACAAGTTTGTGTCAAACAGACATTTTTTTTTTGAAATGCAGGTGGCAAACTACAGCAAGAAAGCATAACACCAGTAGACATCAGGACGTCCTTGGAAAAAAATCTTATTAGACATGTGTCTTTTCATTATCTCATTAACTGGAATGTGGAAATTCTCCACACAGACAACAGTCCAGCCTAAAACCATTCAAGCATCAGTCAGGTTTAATGTTTGTGTCATGTTGTTTTCCATGAATTGAACATCAGGACAGGCTGTGGTTAAGGGTTGGGCTAGCTGACCCCTTGTCCCCGAGGTTAAAAACCACACTGATTGCAAACCAAAGTGACGCTCTTCTGCCTGGTGGCGGGGGGCAACCTTCCATCTCCGCCACAATCACTGACATCTCCCAACATGTGATCTCTCCCTCCCTCCATCTCATCGCATCTTCCCCATTTCTGAACTCACTTTCTTTAAACACTGGGAGGCACAACAAACTTAGTTGTCCCTGGTCTGAGGCTAAAGACATCACTTTGTGCCACATCACTTTATTTCTCTGAAGAGAAGTGAGAATGTGTTTATATTAACCCGTGTGTTCATTGCCAACTTGTTCTTGGTGCCCTTTGGTCATATGACTGGTCTAATTGTGTGTTATGCACTGTGACAAATTGCTTATGAGAGTTGTGGTTTGACTGAAGTGAGCTGTGATGGGGAGGGAAGCGAATGGATGAAGGGATGGATGGATGGAGTCCTTGGAAAATGATAGTGAGAACAGTACTGAGACACAACAAATCAATCACATTTAACCCTGATGTGCAATCCCACGCAACTTTTGAAAACTAAGGACAATCTTATGTCGAAGTTGTAAGTTGGTAACTTCTATAAAAATGACTTCTTGTCACATTTGCTGAAACTGTCACTGTATATGAGCTTAGGAGTCTCTGACGCAGCTGTTAATCACTGCTTTTGAACTGGGGTCAAACTGTCAAACTAGGCAGATCAAATATCAATGAATCAAATATGATCAAATATGAATCAAGACTATATTACTACATTGTATATTTCTCACCTCAGATGTTTTCAGAAACACATTAAGGCGAACTGTTTAGCTTAGCAATGAGAAAGTTGGAGCCAAAATAAAGCACTGACCCCGACTGGAGCAAGCTTTCTCATTTTACAGCTAAACAGAACAAAAAAATATGTTTCTGAAAATATCTGAGGCAAGAAATGGTCAATGATGTAAAAGAATCTTGATTCCTTTTTGATAAGTACTGTCTAGTTTGATATTTGATCACAGTTCACAGGCAGTGATTGGCGTGACTGAAGGCTGCGTTAGAGACTCCTCGTCTCAGATCTGTTGTTTTCAGTGGACTAATGGTGATTCTAGCAAATGCCACTTCGAGGAGGAGGAGAATTATGATTGTTTTCACTGATTATCTGTCCTAATTACTACTTTCAGCAAATACTACAAAAAGTTAATTTCATAAATGTTACTAACTGTAGCTTTAAGTGATAATAAGCACCAGGAAATCCGAATGGTGTGACACCTAAAAGTGCAGAAGTGAGAGAAAAGGTAACTTACTATGAGTGGATGGATTCCATAGTACATGACAGGGTCAGCTAAGGTGAATTGGTTGCCAGCCAGGTAGACCTTGTCTTGCAGGTAGAGGTTGAGGTCCTGCAAGAATAATTTTCACCACATCACCAGCTATGCAAATGAGGTCATTAATTTATGCATCATGGTACATATTTCTATGTAAACACACTTGTCTTCACATGACTGATGAATACATTAGGGAAGAAAATTACATTCATATGAATCACTAATGAAGCCTCCTTGAAGAGCGGTGGTGGTGTTGTTGGTCATGACTTTTTCTGCATTTCATTGGATGCTGATGTTGATTTATTTACAGGCTGATTCTTTTGTGCTACATTGGAAAACAAACTAAAACAAAATAAAACATCTGGTCTAGTCTATGCATCTCCAAACATTTATTTTTACATAATTGTATTCTCATGATTGACACTACAGACCTAAAGGGGGTATGACAGCAGGTTCGTTAACCTATATAACTGTGGGTGCGTGCGGTACGCGAGTCTGCACCCTAGCTTGCGTGTGTGTCTGTGTTCTGTGCTATGTGGGTAGGAATAATATGTAACCTGAGGGGGTATAGCATCTCTCCCCATGACTGGCGACTTAGCACAGATGCTGTACAAAACAGGCTATTTGTTTACTTCGCTACCAAATGACTACAACTCTCGCTTGCAAATCTAATGAAGCTGTCCTAAACTTGGGCATCATGATGTGTATTTCTCAGTCCATGTCTGTGTGTGCAAAGTCGTGCATGGAAGTGCTGGTCCCAGGGGAAGGGACCATCTTTAGCACTTGTACATTGTGCGAAGGGAACACTCCACGCACACAGAGCATCTTGGGGGCAAATGGAGTTATTGTGCGGCAAGAGTGGGTGATGCCAAACAAGGCATGAAGACTGCAGACTTCCTCCCCTTCCTCTATCAGATCCTTGCTTTTCTTAGCCTACAGCCATGGAGCTGAAGCCCAGTCGAGCATCAGAGGAGAGGCAGCTCTCCTGCCACCCCCACCCAGCACATGGAGCTTCAAACCTGGATTCCTCTCTACCTGCCCTTACCTAAATCGTGCACTCTTATCATCAGAACATTCAGATATAACTACTCATTGTATGTTTTTGTGCTCATTTCTTTCTGACATACTTTTCTATAGCTACTGTTGTCAGTTTACTGCTGTCATGATACTCCAGTTAGGGTTATGGTTCTATTGTTGCTGCCTTTCTACATACTTAAACCTGATAACTCAAACCTCTCAAAACTGTAAAGCCTAAATATCATTAAATGTTTAAGGAAAATCTCAAATTAATCTTAATTAATGGTGACTATGAGTTCTTTAGTTGCATCATGGGGTGACAAAGTTTAAGATGTCCTGCAGTTGACAGTTTTTATCCCTGAATAATTTAATGGGAGATGACTAGTGTGCTGGAAAGAAGAGTGTTAAGGATGGAGCTAAAGCAGCAGGACAGGACAGGGGGCCACCGGGCACCAAAGCTGAGCTGCTCAGGGCGACTTCCGTCTGTAAGTGGCACCATTAAAATATTTAAGAGCCCTGTCCAGATAACATGCTGCCGCACAGCATGACTCCTCCGTCATGCCACAACAGTGTGTCAAGCTGTGAAGTGTGCACGCACACACACACACACACAAACAAACACACAGGCACTTCATGCTGACATGACAGTGCCAAGAGGCGCCTAGCGTCCAGCAGACCAGTGGCTGGTGATCCATTTCACGCTGACTGGCGTCAGGCACATTAAAGCATTTTTCTCTGTCGTGTGGGGCCATGTCACTGAAGGGCCATACATCAGTCTGTATTCCTGTCGCCTTAACAAGACACACACGCACACAGAGGGCTCGCTGGTGAACAGAGAGAGGGAACGTGAGATACACTAAGATGCTGTGGCACCTCTGAAAGGTAAGGAATGATTTTTACAAATTATTTTCTTTTCACAAATCCTAAAAAAAAGATATGTTAAAAAGATTAGCACTGACAAGCTGAAGAAAAAGTTCAATTCAAGCAAACTTAAAATAACCATTAAAATCTGGGACAACCATGAGTACAGATGCATTTAAGTCTACATATGCAACACAACAGCAATTTGGAGGAACAAGAAGTATTTCAAAGATTTCTGTAAACATCAGCCTCTCTACCTTCAGGATGGCCCTGATGTCTTCCTTGGTGCAGCTGTCCAGCTTGGTGACTCTGTATTCCAGCCACTGCTGCACCACAGCCCTGCTCTCTGCAGAGTCTCCCAGTAGCTCTGGGTGCTTGGACTCTTTCACCAGGTGACAGGCAATGGTCACCAACCCTACTAATGAAGGCCCATTATTATTCTGTAGCACAGGTACCTGCATGGAGAGGTGATATGGAAAAGAACAACAATAATGTTTATTTTATATCATTTAAGTTTAGATGAAATTAAGCTATCATTTCAACACATCAGACATCAGCTGTCCCTGTATTTAATTTAAACCTCAATAAAGAACATGATGCATCAGTTTTAAAGACAACAAAATGCACTCTTCATATCTTTACACATCCATGGATATAAAAGACAGTGTCTAAAATGCATGTGATGATCAACATATCACTTTATTAAATAGACTGATTAAAAGAGGTTGAGTGAGTGGGTAAATATCCAGATCAGAGGATGAATACTGGGGATATAAGGATATTTGTTTGCAACATTTTCCACAGAGACTAGGCTGTGTTATCTTTGAGTGAAGCAGACTTGAAGGTTCATTTTGACTTATGTACGTCTACCTGACTTAAACTTCTGTCCTTCCTCTTTCAGTCATCAATACTGAAGATCAAATTCATCTTACACTGCTTCTCTACAAGCGAATTTAGACAGTGACAGCTCACTCCTCCCCTCAGTTGACTTCAATGAATGGGCATGCGCACAGCATGGAGCTATTTCCATTGTACTGAGTTGTGAAAATAAAGATAGCTGGCTTTAAATGTTACTCCCTGGATTTGCTCCGAGTATCAGCCTGACAGATGAAAAAGACCACTGACTATCAGCTGATAACACAAGGTAGATATGCCACAGAAACTGTCCATATTGTCAACACACATGACTAGCTTGTTAGCATTATCTAGCTAGCTACCGTGTGTCCCAATATAACAGCGTATCAGCTTCCTATAACATTAAATAACGGTCTAAAAGCCAACAATGAACGCCACGAAGATGTACAGTCATGTCACCTTTTTGTCCCCCTGTGTGCTGTACTTGTTCGGCTTTTTCAATCCTAAGTATTTCTCCAGCGACGATAGCTCCCGTAACGCCATATTTCTGACTGTCGGAGGGGCAGTGCAGTGTGAGTGTGATCTGATTGGGTAAAAATCTCAAGTCCCGCCTACTACACTTTGACTGACTGTCGAGTTGACCAATAACAATACAGCACGCCAGTCTGACATTATATTGCATCAGTGAATGAGCCATCACCCGCACTGAAATAAAATAAAATAAAATAAAATAAAATAAAATAAAATATATAAATAAATAAAATAAATTAAAACAAAAATACTGGGTAAAATAGCAAATGTGTAGCTGCAAATTAATAAAATTAAAATACCATACTATGTTTTTTTTATTATTATTTGTTTGAGCAGCTGCTACAATATCAGTTATAGAAACAGGGACAAGGGACTACACACTTTTATGATCAGGACGGACAGGTTCGCATTTTTGTATAGGAGGAAGTGGAAATTTAAATCTGAAATAATGAGGAAACATATGCCCTCTCATGCAAATAATATAGAGAGGAAATATTTTACTATAGGTCTAATCTCAACAATAACAATAAGCTAATAAAATGCTAATATGCCACATTGGAGATCATTCCCATGCCAGCTACAATATTCCAAATGCTTTCATTTTAAAGGTTCAAATGGATGTCAAATAAATGATAATTACATATAGGCCTACACTATAAAGTTCCTACAATTAGAAAAAAAAAACATACATCTGTACTGATTTGATCTGCTAGACTGGTGTGATTTGTGTATGTATGTTTAACCACATACCAAAGACACTGCAATTACTTGTTCAGTTTGGTTCACACCACACACAAACACGCCCTGTCAGTACAGTGTGCTCTTACTGGATATGAACATATCCCAGCATTCCATAGGCGGGCTCAACTCTGTAATCCAAGCCTCCCCAGCAGCGTGGGCTGAACTGATCAAAAATGAGTGTTATGCAATGCTGCCAGTTCATAGTAACATGCCTGTTTTTGCAGAACTTCTCCATTAGGATTTGTGGATAAATGGAATCAAAATGACAGTTGAAAGTCTGGCGTTTCAGTCTGAAGTCCTGCAGCAAAGTTTCCCTGTCCTGTCTGTCTGCCTCCACAGTGGGTCCTGGCTGTGACATTGTGTGTGTCTTGTCTGTTTGGATTTGCACTATGCCTCTAAGAGTTCTCCATAATGAAATGTCACCTGTCAGTCAAATCTGGGCTTATTAAGTGTATACTGTCCAAGCATATGTGTGAGTATGTACTTGTGTATGTGTGTGTGTGTGTGTGTGTGTGCGCGTGTGTGTATGTGTGATAGAGAGTGACAGCTGGGCTGAGGTGTCACACTACAAGCTTTCTTTTCATCTCCAGTGGTCCCACTTTGTAACAGCTCACCTGGATGACAAGGCTTGAGGTGATGTCAGGGACTGCAAATCAAAATCATATGTTTTTTTCTTTTGGATTTTTATTGATGTTATTCAGACTGCAGTAAAATATACAAAAGATGTAGAGTAGGGGAGACAGCAGCTGGGGAGTCCAAACTGAAGCCCACTGTGGCTTACACCTTTGTTTTTTTTTTCTGTCACATGTCAAACTGTCTTCCATGAAAAAGGCCTGTGAAGGGCGAGAGCAATATCCAATAATATACAGATATATATTTTTAATTTGCCCATATTTGCCCCTTTTTATTTGAAGTTTTATGGATTTATTTTTTTTTTCACATCAAGGAGGAAAATGGTGAATACAATGTCTATATTTTATATCATAACTTATATATTAATTCCTAAACTCTGTTTACTCAGAACATTTCTAGTGTTGCTATGTATCATATCATACATAGCATCAACTCTATTTTTATATGATAACACAATAAGACATCTATGAATACCTGGCTCATACTCTAGTCTTGCAGAGCAGTTTAATGTTGAGTATCTAAGACCCCTCAATTCTCACATAGGCGGCAGTTGCGTTTCATGTGAACTACTTCTGTAGATGTTTGTTGCCTTGCACTTGTATCCACATCGTTCCCTTTCACTATGTGTACTTAATATAAAAGAGCAGATGATATTTTTAAACCCAATTTGTTGAGAAAAAGCTGTCCCAGAAAACAAATTAATTATAAGAATGAGTACACAGACTATCACAAATGATTACATGCCATGGAACAAAGTAAGGCTGTATTTTTTCTCTCTCTAACCGTCCATGTTGCTGTTTGTTTATAGGCTAAAGCACGTCATACACTTTTACCCTAGTGGGGCTTCCATAAATGAATGCCTGCAGCGTTAAAGTGCATCTCCTTTAACTAAATGCCTCCAAGCTGCCACATCCTGTCTGGACTCAGGCGGGCTGAGGACAACGATCCCCAGTGCCCAGGACTAACTGTAGCCTGTGGGAGTTTTCTCATGCCGATTGTGATACACAATCTGGGGTCACATTAGTAAGGGAATCTACAGTGGGGGTCACCGATAGTGCCGTGGGGCTTCCCAAGGCAGGCATAGCCATAAACACAGCCTCAGTCCTGGTAGATATCCCCCCCTCTGCCTAGTCTGTAGCTTACAATATGCTGTTACACTGATTTGTCTAGCTGGGATGCAGGGTCACAGCCCCGCCTGTCTCCTCTGTTACCTTTCATGACCTGTGAAAGCTCTCTGACTGAATACTGTATTTTAACCACACAGATGCTCGCAGAAGGAGAGGGGAGGGATTGGTTGTGAGTAGTCGAGATGAACGCTGTCAGCACAGATTGGTGAAATTGCATATTGGTGCTAGGTTTGATCCCCAGCTTGGAGTGAACATGGGGACACGCGCCAGGCGGCGGGGTGACAGTTTGGGAGAAGGCTGCGAGTTGTGAGATGAAGACAGACAGATGTAAGGGGGTCGGGGTGCTGCCCGTACCTTCGCTCCTGTCAGGTTTTATTTTTGATTTTATCTTGTCCAAAGAACTTGATGTGTGGCTGACATTTTTAAGGAACTAACATGAAAATGGATTTAGGTAAAATGATAATAGTTTGTATAGTACAGTGAGTTTAAAGTTATAAAATCATAAAATAAGGATTTTGGCAAAATTACTTTTTGTGACAGCTGTCAAATACAAAATTTAAGGTTTGCTTTAATTAATATATGGTTCTTCCATGCATAGGTGTAAATTTCAGGGGAGACACAGGGCACCCCTCAATATTTACAACATGCACATTTTTTCTCCCCCCCAAAAGACATTAAAGTAGCAGAGGACTTTTATTTTGACAAAAGACATTTGCAACATAAATTGGTGCAGAAAAATTCACAAGAATGCAAGAAATTGCTTTTGCTCGACTCCCCCAACTCCTGTATAATATGTTAAAACAAAACCTACACCCATGGTCTCTTGCTCTGCCACAGAGAAAAAAGTCAACCACAATAATCAACAACATAATTTCTAAATATTTTTTATGTTATTTTTAATGACCAATATATTGTTTAGTGAATAAAATGTCAGAGTATAAAAAAAAGTCTCTCACAATTTCCAAAAAGCCCATGGTGGCAGCTTTAAATGTCTTGTTTTGTCCCACTTACAGTTCAAAACTCAAACACATTAGTTTACTATCATGTGAAACAGAGTAACACAGCAAATCCCTACATTTGACTGGACTTGATTATCAAAATAAATAAAAAATACCAAAATTTACCAATGAATTTCCTTTCAGTCAACTTATGTATTCATTTTTTCAGCTCTTGTTTTAATGTTGCTGTTTAGAAACGTAATCTGAAAACAAAACCTACACCCCATCCCCATGACATGTTTCTCATTCACTTCCAAGCCAGACCTACTATACAGTAAGTCACTTTCAGCCAGTGTAGTATATGACTACTGGTAGTCCACGCAATGTGTCTTTTGGCTGCGGAGCTGCTGGCTCTTGTAGCGGAGGAGAGTCAGAGGATGCCAGAAATGTCGCAGCTCCAGGCAGGGCCTTTGGGCCTTCATGACGACAACAGTGATGGGATTATAGGAACCACCCTGCTGCTCCATGCAGTAACAGAAACCCAACGGCTAAAAACAACAAGCTGGTCCCCCCCCCCCCCACTCCATCACACACACATGCAAATGAGTGTATGTTCGAATATGTTTACAAGGGGGATGGAAGGGGTTGGGTGAGCCAGTGACAGGAGTGGAGTGATGACATTTTTGTGGCATTTCATGTCTTTCCCATAACATTTGTGACACGAGATTAGCATTGGAAGGCTTGCTCATAAGTGTGTGTGTGTGTGTGTGTGTGCGTGTAGAAGGAGGGTGGTTGGGTCTCTGGCTGATCAGGAGAGGCCCCGGAGTCAAACGAACAAGTAATAAAGGCAGTTTCTCCATTTCCTCCTTCTCTGCTTACATGCCAACCCACAAGGCTGTGGGACATGCTGGGGGACACAGTACCAGCTCTCAGTAACAACAAACCCTGTCCCTGCCTTCCATCCAGCAGCAGTCACTTAGGACTATTAATTACCGCTCTGAATTTCCTCCTCCTTACCCGTAGCCATCCGTGTCCCCCTCAGACAAACAACCTCGGTGGGAGGATCTTGATTATTATAGCTTCTGAAAAGTCAGATTGTCTTTTATTGAAGTTGCCCACTGGCCATGCAGGTTTCTCTCCATCTCTCCCTCTCTCTGGCTCGGTGTCTCTCCTCCATGATTCAGACAAAATCTTGGAGGAAACTGTTCTGCTGTGGCCGGGAGGTTGATGAGGGAGACTCCCGTGTTGTTGAAGGTTTGAACTCACGCAACTCACGGGAGGTTAAAGCACTCACACAAACACATACACATGCTAAACGCTGGCTGTAAACTGGAGCCTCTGTGTGCAGTTTGAGAATAATTTTGCTGTTCAGTCCTTTGCCAGCAGGGAGCACTGTGGGTCTTTCAAAAATCACAAAGTCCAGCTCTCCTCACAGTCCACTTGCATCTAAACCAGGATTCTGCCATGTGAAAATGAACTTTTTAAAAATTGGAGACAAGAAAGTGACTATTTAAAAGAGATGGGATCATGTGGAACTTATAGGAGCAGCTGTATCTTTAAAATGTAATGAAACCAATACGTGCAGCTTATCATTGAGCAGACAGTGGAGCACTTTAACTGTCTTTTAGGAGCATTTT